AGAGTCACCTCAAAACTTTCTGTGAGGAATTTTGTGAATTCTTTCTCTTCAGGAACCAACCCTTTGTTACTTTATTATGTTTCCAGGAGGGCTTTTCTGTAAAAGATTTCTTCTCCCCCCCCCCCCCCCCCCATCCCCAATATGATTTCCGTCCTTGTTGTTTTGGATCCCACAGGAATTACAGGAACTCTAGAAATGTGAGTAGTACAATCGTTTGAAGAACAAAATAACACACAACAAAGAAAAACCGCTACCACACATTCGAGAGCCAGGCGGGCGTGCAAAAACAAAGGAACCTTGGTCGTTCAAATGACTTTGACGCTCTTTAAAATTGTGAGAGACGCTAAATCGAGCTTTGTGTGCGTGTGTGTTTTGTTTTTAAATTTCAAATATTTCCCCTTTTCGCTTTCAACCTTATGCCCGTCCCCCCGCCCCGCTTGCCGCCCTGAGGCAAATGAGGAGAGGAACGCCTCTTGGAAAAAAAGTAGTCCTTCTTTGCAAAAAATAGTCCTTCTTTGTTCACCGACTTATCGAGATGGCGGAGGAGACGATATCCTTCCGCGGGCGGGCTGGTCTCTTCACTGCCGCGGAGGGAGAGAAAGAAGAGGAACGGAGCGCTGATTCGACGCGGCCGGCCGGCTGGCTGTGAGGGGATTGTACCGTTGGGAGGGGAGGGGAGGGGGGGAGGAGGAGAAGGAGGCGGGGCTGCCGCCGCCCCCGACGTCGCCGAAGCGGCTCCTTTGTGTTTCCCACAATGCACCAGCTTCTCCTCCGCGGGAAAGCAAAATGGCGAAGGGTTGTTGTGGAGCCGGGCTGCCCGTGAGGGCTTGAGCCCCCCCCCGCCTCCCCTTGTTGGCTTCCCTTCCCCCTCCTCCCTTCCCCTTCACCCCGCGCGGGTTTGCCCTTTCGGAGGGCGGCGAGAAAGCCCGGCCGAGAAGCGGCTTCTCGGGCTAATAAGAGCGCACAGAGCGCCATTGATTTCCCTGCATGAAGCGAGTGGCCCAACTGGAGAGACCGAATGAGGTGAGCCGAGAGGAAGGGGTCCAAAAGGAAGGAATCGCAGGGTCGGGATGTGTGGGAGGAGGAGGAGAAGGGAAACCGGCTCTTCTTGCCGTTTCCCGGTTATTTTTTTCCCCCCACCCCCGATCCCGCCATCTATTGATTTTGAAAGGAAAAAACGTTGCGAGACATTTCCGCTCCCCCTGGTCGGTTGACGTTGCGGGGAAAGGGGACCGAGAGGGAACGCGACGTTTCGGCCCCCGCTGGCCGAGTTTTCTATGAGGGAGATGTGGGTGGGTGGGTGTGGGCATCAATTGCGCTGCAACATGAACCGTAGCTGGGGTGGCTATATATATATATATATATATAGTAATATATAATTATATATGTATTATATATATAATATATATATAATATATATATATTATATATGTATTATATATAATATATATATTATATATTATATATGTATTATATATATATATATATATATATATATATATATATATATATATATATATATATATATATATATATAAGATTTTTTACAACCCCTGGTAAGCCCCAATTATGGGAGGAAGCTAACTGCTTCCATCATCTGTCCTTCGGCTCGTCACAAGAGTCCATCACGACAGAAACCCAATATTTTTACTGTTGCCTTTGTTATATTTGTGTTTTTTTTAATTTGTGCTGATAAATAAATAAAGGGTGACTAGTATAGATCTATTTCAAGCTATGGCTAGCTGATGAGAGCTAAATAGCTTGAAATAGATCTATACTAGTCTCCCTTTATTTATTTATCAGCACAAATAAAAAAACATATATATATATATATATATATATACACACACACACACAAATAATATAATATATAAATAAATATATTGGGGGGGGGGCGTCTGGGTGAACTAGGCGAGCCAAACAAAGGCGAAGAATCTTCGTCGGGGATCATATTTTTATTTTTATTTTATTTTATTTTATTGGAGGAAGTTCTGCATTGCCATAATTTCGGTCTTGCAAATGGGACTCGAAATCACCTTTTTCCGTTTTTGTTTCCAGGGCCGATAAAAAGAGGTCGTTCCAAAAGAAGGGGTTGGTAAATTTGTTGCTATACTAAATGCGCCACAGTATGCTAGTCCTCATTGTTTTGGTGTGTGATTGATTAACCGATAATTACCTTATTAATTAATTATTTGCCTAATAATAAATGGGACCTAGGGTTAAAAAGGTTTTGCAGCACTGTTGTTGCCCCCCCCCCCAGACAGCATTTTATTTTTTATTTTTGTTCAGGCAGCTTCTCTTTACCCCCCCTCCCCCTTCCTCCTGCTTTATGTTGTACAACTGCTATATGTACCCCTTTGTGCATGTTTTCAGAGTTTGTTTAACATAATTAATGAATATTAGCTTTTTAAGTTGACATTATATTGAACCCATAAAGTGGGATTACACATCATTTTAAATCATTTTTTTTAAAAAAAAAATTGACCAAAATTAAAACGAATCAAGCGTTAGCACAGTTTTTCTGCCTTTGTAACTGATCTGGTTAAATGTGTGTTATGGGGAAAGGGTCTATGAGTCAAAAGGGGAAAAAAAAGGTTTGGATTAATGAAAAGGCAGCTTTGATCTTGTACAGTGGGGGAGGGGGTAAACAACCTGAGGCCACCTGCAGCCTCTGAGGCTTTCATTACAGTCCCTACCACCCTCTTGAATTGTTTCTTTAAAAAAAAAATTAGAATTTTTAATTACATGGGGAACAACCATGTTAACTATATTTTTTAAATGTTAAATTGAATATTTTGATTTCATCCTGGCCACCTGTGCTTTGTACTATAGTCCTCAGCACTTCACACACATAAAATCAAATGGCTTTTGATACAACCCCCCCCCCCAAGCTGCATTTCTCTAATGTAATGAGTTGTATATTTTCAATTTGCTTATGCACTATCCTTTCAAATTGCATTTGAATAGTAGTGTACTGTTAATGTTAACATTAAGTACAATCATATATTAGGATCCCTAAATCTGTGATAATCAGCTTGCTTACATACATACATACATACATACATACATACATATATATTATCATATATATATATGATAAAAGGTACAAAAAAGACATAACAACCTCTCCCCAGAGCAATTACTCTGTGATAAAAGAGTATAATATTTGATGATTCTTAGCTTAAAAATGTTTAGGGAGAGCATTATATATTGGCAGGATGTGTGTGTTGTGCTTATTATTCCATTTCCTATTTTTTCTTGTTTCCTGGCAAAGCTGTTTATATCTTTTAACAGCATTGTTGCTGTTAAAAGAGCTTGTTACCTTTGCTCTTGCTCCTTTCAGTATTTGTGGAGTGTTAGCCAAGTGACATCATTTTTCATATTAGGAAATTGGAGTTCTCACCATTCACAACTATTCCTAGGCAGTCAAAATAGGTCTTGAAATTCCAGTCAAGAAATGTGGATAGAAAGAACTGGAATTCCACAAATGTAAGTAAAAAAAATTACAGTAAGCTTGACCAGAATTTTAATTAATTGTTTAATTGGGACTGAGCTTATGGGGGAATGGAAGAAGTGGGAAAGAGAAATCTGATTAAATAATTGAGACATACTGGTGATATGTTAAAAGTAAATGAAATAATGTATGGCAGCTAGGTGTAATTCTGTCATTGCTAACTACCACACTTAATAAAGAAATTGCTTCTGCTCCTGTATAGCCTTGCCTAACTGTCACCTGATTGTTTCACCTATTCTCTCTCTCTCCCTCTCTCTCTCTCTCTCTCTCTCCCTCCCTCCCTCTTCCGCCTCCCCTCCCTGTGTGTGTGTGTTTGCTTGCTTATTAAGATGTATGCAGCTTCTGTTACATTGAATATGTTCTTGCAGGAAACAAGTTCAAAAAACTAACTTAATGTGTTGTGCAACCCCCCTCCTGAAAAAATACAGTTATAACTTATAGTTCAGTGTTCAAATCCAGGCAATTAAATTAACTTAGTTAATCGGGATTTAGCATTTTGTGCCAACATTGTCTATCCCTGTTAATATCTCTAAAGATATACAAGGTATTATTTCTCTCAGTTTTATAGCCTGTTTCTATTTTCTGTCCAATTGTATATGAAATATTCTGTGGAAGTTTAAAGTAAATATTTCCTATTTTGCAAAAAGAAAAGAACACTGAATTTGGCAATAACACTTTTGTTTGAATTCTTGCTTTCTGACCCTTCATCCTCAGCAAAATTAAAAAGAATCAGGGCTGTTTATTTCTCTTCATATCTTTGCAAATGCCTTAGTTATGATGTATTGTTTCAGTGTTTATACAAGGGTTCAATGAACCAAGAGAACACTATGTTTGCATAGTGATAGAAGTGATTATAGGCTGAATACTGTATTGTATGTAAAAATATGAAAACCACAGACTAGTAACCAGTTGCTGCTAAATAATTTTACAAAATGTATGTTACATAGACAGGCTTTTGATAATAGCCAAAAGTGTTTTTCCTTTTAATGCAGTAAGATTGCCATGTGTAGGCTTTAATACAGTTTGAAATGTACTGAGACAGAATCTGAGAAAACCAAGATGTAAGCACTTCTTTAGCAGATTAGATCAGTGTTTCTCAACCTTGGCAACTTGAAGATGTCTGGACTTCAACTCCCAGAATTCCCCAGCCAGCGAATGCTGGCTGGGGAATTCTGAGAGTTGAAGTCCAGACATCTTCAAGTTGCCAAGGTTGAGAAACACTGGATTAGATGAACAATATAGAAATAATAAGCACTCAAGTCATAGATTTAGTTGTTAGTCTTTAGGACTATGGCATATTTCTTTAATGTATATTGTATTACAATAAATTTCCAGTTTAAAAAATTACATATGGCTTCATCTTCTTATCTCAGATATGTCTGGAGATTAAGTCTCACTCTCAGTTAAATTTGTTGTGGTTTGAATGTTAGCTTTTAATGTTTTAGAAGTTGCCAATGTTCATTATGCATGTCTGTATTTTAGAGACTCTACGGGGGTGGGTAATTCAGTGGTCCACAAGCGGTCTCCTTTGCACCAAAACCAAAAACCACCAATATCCTTGACCAAACTCTCCTCACGGGATGGACAAAAATCGAAAAAGCCAGTGTGCAAATTTGAAGAAGGTCAAGATGTCCTAGCCAGATGGTCAGATGGCTTGTTTTATCTTGGAACTATCAAAAAGGTAATCCATTTTTAATTAACCTCCTAGCTTACAACATTTTATGGCAAAATTGCAAATTGCTATTATGGCTGCAAATTTATTTGTATTTCAGATAAACAAACTTAAGCAGAGCTGCTTCGTTATATTTGAAGACAGTTCCAAGTCCTGGGTTCTCTGGAAGGACATACAAACAGGCAAGAACTTTATATCATCATGATGATGATTTGATCCTTTAGTAATTAATGTAAAATGGATTTACTATACTACATTCCTTCCAGTTGAGATTCAGAGTGCAGCAGACATGAGGAAAGGGTTAACCATTTTTCAGCTGTCACTTACCTATAGTGGTGAGTGGTAAAGAGGAAGGGGAGCTAGAAATGTAATTGATCTAAGTAGAGATGAAAATTATAAGGGGAGCAACGTGCTGAATGCAAAATATGTGTGGCCCATATATAACCCAAAGACAGATGAGTTGCTGGATTTATAGAATGCATAGGTCTCTTTTATAACTCTTGATCTCAAATACACCAGTCAAAACCCAACTGAATTCACACTGTTCTAAGTCATGGTTCACAGACCAGAGTGGCTGGGTTCACATGCAAAACAAAACCTAAATCACATGTCAAGACTTAGCAATCAGTATTCAAAATGTAAAACATATTCATTTAGTATGAAGCCATGCTTTTTTGTTGTTTTAGGAGCTACTGAAACGGGGGAAATGGTCTGTACAATATGTCAGGAGGAATATTCAGAAGCACCCAATGAAATGGTTATATGTGATAAGTGTGGTCAAGGTAATTAAAAAAAAAAGTTTAGACATCTTAAAAATGTATTAGTGTATATTATGATCAGAGGTAGTCCTCAACTTACAACTGGAATTGAGCCCGTAATTACGATCATAAGTTGTGGCAGACGTTAAGCAGGCCACTAGTATGTGATTTTGTCCAATTTTGCAACCTCCTTTGCAGTAGTTAAGCAAATACACTGATTGTTAAGCAAACCCAGTGTACCCAGTGGGTGTTTTATGCCATAATCTGGAAGGTAAACACTGCTTTCTCACAAAATGTCATAAATCGTCATGTGCTGCAAACAGCCATAAATGTGGATCAGTTGCCAAGTGTCCAAAATACAATCACGGCCATAGGGAGTGTCCATTGGAACTTCGAAACTGGATTGTAAGTACCTCTGGGCAGGTCTGTGTAACTTCATATGGTTGCTAAGCGATTGGCTATAAGTCAAGGACTACCTGTAAACCTAAGTGCATAGGCATTTCTATTGATGTTTATTATATTTATGCCATTCTCAATGTCTCCTATTGTGTTTTCTAGTATCAGAACATTTAAAATGTTTGGTTATGGGTTTTAATATGGGAGACAAAGATGTACATCGCTTTATATCTACTTAAAGAGGTTTTTTTTCCTTTTTAATTCAGGTTATCATCAACTGTGTCATACACCAAATATCGGTTCTAATGTGATAGATTCGGACGATAAATGGCTCTGTCGGCAGTGTGTCTTTGCAACAACAACAAAAGTAAGTTGATTACTTTAAAAAGTAATTGCAGTTGAAAATTGATTTTTGTATGGTATTGGATACTAACATTTTCTGGTTTAATGCATTTTATTTTAGAGAGGCGGCGCGCTTAAGAAGGGACCAAATGCTAAAGCACTGCAGGTCATGAAGCAAACATTGCCTTACAATGTAGCTGACCTTGAATGGGACGCAGGCCATAAAACAAATGCCCAACAGTGTTATTGCTACTGTGGAGGTCCTGGAGAGTAAGGAGTTGACGTGCTTATGAAAATACATGTTCAGTTTTTCTTTCTATGTTCTTTTATTTGACTATGTGTAAGGCCAAGTGCTGTGTTTCACAAATATGCCATAAAACAGCTTTATTGAGCATAGTACTAGGCTCTCAGAATATTTTCTATTCTTGAGTTTTTGATGTTTGTATGGGGGGAAAAAGTTAAACTATAAACTTGGATCAAGTTTCAGTGAATAAATTTGGAAGTTGGTTGGTTTAAGACATAGTGCTGAAACATGTCAGTGTTTGATTTTGGTGTAGCTTGTTGTATAAACTCTGCCTTTGTGTTATGTTTAATAAAGATGAAGTCTGCAAAAGGCAGAAGTATCAATGAATGCATAGTGACCAGTTAAATCTTCAGGAGCAACTCTCATATAACTACTACTGGTGTAGCTTTCATTTTATTTTACTTAAAGCAGCCACTTTAAGAAATGCTAACTGAGCATAACATGAAATAGGAGGGCACTCCATTTTTTCCGAGAACTTTTATTTTTATATGATATAGTCTATTTATTTTTGTGTGTGTTTGTTTGTTTATTTATTCCAAACTTCATAATCATGTAACCACATTTAATGCTTTTCTGCTAGATTTACTAGCAGGGCATTTACTGCATAGCAATCTTTGTTTTTTCTTACTGTTAATGAAGCTGGTATTTGAAGATGCTACAGTGCTGCAAATGTAAGCAGTGGTTCCATGAGGCTTGTGTGCAGTGCCTACAGAAGCCAATGCTGTATGGTGATAGGTAAGATGTTTTTCTTTGATCTTCTGTTGTGTGTTAGGTATACCCTTTGGGAAGGACTTTACTCTCCATGTTTGTAACTGTGATTCTCTGGGCAAGATCTGTTTAATTTGTACATATTTTAAATCTTTTATATTTTAAATTTTATGTCCTTTGGTATGCCTTATTTTAATTGTGATGCTTCTGACACAAACTGTGATATTTACATTGATGCATTAATAAATAAATATGCTACTATTTCGGTTCATTGTTAGACGTATTCAATTTATGGTCTTCCCTGAGTCAAGTTTTATCATAAGGATAAAAACATTTAAAAGATTGATAAGAACATAGACCCAGACTTTTCACTATTTGTTTGAAAACAATATTTTATTTATCACGCGTTGTTTTACTTTAACTATGAAAACAGATTTAGTCTTAGATATCTTGTCAAATGAATTGCTGTCAGTACAATTTAAAAGCAAATATATTCACACCCTGAGTATGCCTTTTAAACTTCTTTTTTAAGGTTTTATACATTCATTTGTTCAGTTTGTAGTTCTGGACCAGAATACCTCAAACGTTTACCCTTGCAGTGGTAAGTACAACTTAAATCAATCTTGGGCAAAAATATTCAGTATTTCATTGTACATCTCTGTAAAAATAATTTTGTAGTTCTATTATTTGAATGGACTTTGCACATGTAATTAGAATATGGATATATTAATTTTGTTATCCTCTTCCCTTCCGGTTTCAGTTAAGAAAGTAAAAAAACAAAATATTTAGAAAGCAGGATTTTTTTTAGTGAAATAGATCTGCTGGTTGTTGGTAGACAATACTTGTGCCTGTCATCTACAGAATGGGACAACTTGCTTCAGCTGACTTGCCCTGGCATCTTGCCGCAAGCTCTTTCACCATGGGACAACTCGCCATGGGAGAATTCAACACAGGATAACTCGAGAGGGGCAAGTAAAATTGCAGCTCACTCCAGCCTCGAGGACTTCTAACCTGAGTAGGTTCAAATGTAAAGCAAGGCAAGGCCCATCCCTCTCTTCAAGAGAGGGATAAGAGAATTGCAGAGGGCCTTGCCTTGCTTTACATTATCCCACATTGAATTGACTTGCAGCGAGTTGGCCAGAGTGAGTCGGTTGGGGCGAGTTGGACAGGGCCAGTCAGCTGCAGTGAGTTAGACAGTTAAAAGTTCTCATATCTAAAATGTTAAAACTTGCTAATTGTTATTTAAATTTCTGAATTCTAGGGTAGACATAGCACATCTATGCCTTTACAACCTAAGTGTTATTCATAAAAAGAAATATTTTGATTCAGAACTTGAACTCATGACATACATTAATGAAAATTGGGATCGACTCCATCCCGGTGAAGTAAGTTTTTGAAATATTGATGTTGTTTATGTGTTTCTATGGTTGAAAAGATCAAACAGTTAAACTGCGTATATCTATTTTAACAATTGTTCGATCTATGGTAAAATTGTACTAGATGTAAAGTTTGTTGACATGCTTGTGAACCTTTTTTTGAGATTATTTCTTTTGAGTGTTTTATTTGTCTTTAAAAAATCTTAAGATTTGAAAGTTAATGTCAGATGCAAAAGATCAGGTCCACACATCAAGACCCAATTAAACATTTATTGCTACTTATACCTATGCACAGGAATCTTCTCAAATGCTAATGCTTAGCATTTGCTTGGCATTATATAAGGGCCAACAGAATTCAAGGGAGGTAACCTTAGTTTGCTTCTGGCCACATAGAGATTCTAGGCTGATCCCTCTTTTAACTGTGCCCCCAGGTTCTGCCACTCCTAGAGTTACACATAATCCACATATTTTGTTTATCTTATATATGGTAATATATAAAATGTGTTCTTGTGACTGATAGAAGTTTGAATTTCAAAGCAACTTTACAATCTCTTCACAGTTATGAGGAATCTCTCCAGAACAATTTTATGATGGCATTTTGAGGTTTCAATGGCTGCACCCTCAATCATGTGATTATATTTTGGGTGCTTGGAAACCAACCAGCATTTGTAGCCATTTACAGCATCCAGTGGTCATTTCCTCAACATATTCTTCTATTAAAATATTTATTTTATCGGAAACAGAATGCAGATTGCTCATATTTTACCAAGTATTTATATTTCACTATTAAAACTATACCCATAACACAAGCGATATTTAGCAATTCAGATAGATACAGAACAATTTATTCAATGCTTTGTTTGTAGAATAATGAAGATAACTAAACTTCTGTTCCCCCGCTTATTTGTTAATATCCTACAGTAGGTATTTTAGAATTTTGCCCGTTACATAAGAAATTCTAGAATGCTGCTGTATTTCATCTCTCTGAACTGTCAGGTATTAGTGCTTATGGATGTTAGTGCACATTTCAGTAGATTAAATCACTTCTTGATACTTTACAGCTGGCAGACACACCAAAATCTGAAAGATATGAACATGTTCTAGAGGCATTAAATGATTATAAGACCATGTAAGTCAATAAGGGTTTTATACAATTTTCTCTTTTATTTCCTTTAGTTTAATCAGATAATAGTCTAAAGTTTTTTGAAACATTATCTAAAAACTCATAGCTGCAACAGATTATTATTGTGTATCTAAATGTTTTAAGTCAGATTTTATTTCTGAGTATGAGTTATATGAAGATTTAGTTATGTTTTTCCCAATGTTGGCATTTGAGCAGGCTGTGAGTAATGCCATGCATTTGTTAATAAATGGAGCTGTGTGTCTGAAGAAATGAGTTTTGTCCTCATGTTCTGCATTTAATATCTTGAAATGCAGGTTTATGTCTGGGAAGGAAATAAAGAAGAAGAAACATTTGTTTGGCTTAAGAATCCGTGTTCCTCCTTGCCCACCAAATGCTGCTTTTAAGGCTGAGAAAGAACCTGAGGGAACTTCCCATGAGTTCAAAATTAAAGGCAGAAAATCATCTAAGGCTGTGCCTGATCAGAGGTAAATAGACTAGAACTGAATAAAATGACAGCGAGAAGCTGAAAGAATTGTATGTAGATTCCCAACAAAGACTAACTGGAAATAAGCAGAGTCCTAAAGGCTGTGGAGTCAAGGGTTGCCCATGTTAGGCCAGGTTGAGCTTGTACAGTTAGAGTAGCATAAAGAACCAATTTGGTGTAGTAGTTAAAGCAGTGGTCTCTGCATACTGTACCATAAAAATGCTCGATCTAAATAGGTACTATTAAATAGTACAAAGCATATGCTATATTTATCCAGATCAAGTTGGCAAATACAAACTATATGTGATCTTAATACAGAATTGGCCAAGAGTTAATGAGTAGTTTTGTGCAGTAAATTCAAAACCTGTCTTTATGTTTGAGCAAAATGGCTTGCTAAGCTCAGGTTAAAGCTTTGACTATCAACAGCAAATGGAAGGAGTATATTGCATAGCTGGCTATCTTCTATAAACTTGTTGAAATCAGTGGCCTAGAAAATAAACTTGTTGAAATCTTGAGCTAGGACAGATTAGTAGAAGAACATCAATACTCATTCATTCATTTAATTCATTTATTGAATTTCTATGCCGCCCAATCCCGGAGGACTCCGGGCGGCTTACAGAATGAAAAAAGAATTAAAAAGAATTATTAAAACAATGGGACACAACAAGTTAAAAAGGCACACAACAGACACCCAATCAGACGGGGCTGGACCACCATCAAGGGGTCAACAGCCCCAGGCCTGCCGGAAAAGCCAGGTTTTAATGGCTTTGCGAAAGGCCATGAGAGAGGGTAGGGCCCAGATCTCCGGGGGCAGCTCATTCCATAGGGCCGGAGCGGCAAAGTAGTACTCCATACTACTTCAGTAGACAAGCACATCCCAAGGAGGATGAATGGAAGTGTTGTATTTTCTACTTTGAAGGAAGGTTGTCTAATAAATTATTCTTACATTTCAAGCAGTTGTGATAAATCTAATCAGTTTTTAAAAGAATTGCATAATCGATTCTTGCAAATATGTCCACAGGTTGCCTCTGATCATCTTTTTCAGCATTTTTGTGTTACTTTTATTTGGATGATAGTACCTGAATAATAAAATAAAATAATAATAAAAGGGATGCGGTGGCTCAGTGGCTAAGACGTTGAGCTTGTTGATCAGAAAGGTCAACAGTTGGAATCCCTAGTGCCGCGTAACGATTGAGCTCCCGTTACTTCTCCCAGCTTCCAACCTAGCAGTTCGAAAGCAGGTAAAAAATGCAAGTAGAAAAATAGGGACCACCTTTGGTGGGAAGGTAACAGTGTTCCGTGCGCCTTCAGCGTTTAGTCATGCCGGCCACATGACCACGGAGACATCTTTGGACAGCGTTGGTTCTTTGGCTTTGAAACGGAAATGAGCACTGGCCCCTAGAGTCGGGAACGATTAGCACATATGTGCGAGGGGAATCTTTACCTGAATAATATATTGACACTGAATTGATAGCTCCTTTGGATTACCTATAGGGAAAGGATTGATGCAATCCTGGTTTTACTTAATTTCTTTCCAACCTTTGATAAACATCGATTGCAGTATCTGTCTGAAACATCTCTGGAGATTCAGAATCAAGGTTACTGTGTTGCATTGATTTTCCTCCTTCCTCTGGGGATGGTGACAGGAGAACGTTGAACTCAGATTCTTTTTCAGGACTGCCATACGGCTCTTTTTCTTCCTATTTAACAGGAAGCTGTTGAAAAAGTTTATTTGCCAGTATCGGTTTAAGTATCATCAATGTTTACAGGATGTAGCTGTATAGCTTGACCCTGGGCTTAACAGGAGATAGAGTTAAGGTGCTATCTCAGTGCCTAGAAGCTGTGGTCATCTTGAAGAAAGACCCTGGGTCAGTCCCAGCAAATAGAATGGATGTGAGCGTGGAAAACTTCTAAACCCAGTGGTATTTCATCTTCCATTCTGAAGAGGGTTGTGATCTCCTGGGCTGAACTAGTTCATAACCTGGAGATTTCAGGCTCCCAAGTTTCTGCTCAGGTCTTTGTAGTGTTCCATTTTGTTATGGCCATTCCTGGACCATATGTTGGTCACCTCTCAATAGAATTAGTACAACTTAATCTACCTGGGGCTGAATTGAAGACCTTCCAGAAACTACAAATGGTCCAGAATGCAGTGACACTTATACTTAAGAGTTATTTTGACAAGTAACATTACTACTGCATGAACTACCCTCTTTGCCAGTTGGCTTCTAGTGCAATTCAAGAAGCCAGCTAGTAATTGCTTTTAAAGACTTACCATGCTTGAAACTTAAATATCTTCGGGACTCCTTTCTCACAGCAGTTGTGGCTGTTCAATAACATTTAGTGAGGAGAGCCTCATTTGTCTTAGAAGGATTGTCATCTTCAGGGAATAGATGCCTTTTTATTACTTCGTTCCCTCCCCTTTGGAATAGCACTGCATCCAGTCTGATCGATACTGTTGGCATTTTAGGAAAGTCTTTAAGACCTGACTGTCTAGTACAATCTTTGGGGATGTGGTATGATAGATCAGTGTTTCTCAACCGTGGCAACTTGAAGATGTCCGGACTTCAACTCCCAGAATTCCCCAGCCAGCAAATGCGTGTATAAGTGTCACTGCATTCTGGACCATTTGTAGTTTCTGGAAGGTCTTCAATGCAGCCCCAGGTAGATTAAGTTGTACTAATTCTATCTTCAAGTTGCCAAGGTTGAGAAACACTGTGATAGATCATCTCTTTGCAGTTGGCAATTAGTACAATTCTGATTATTTTTCCTCTCTGTAGTGACAGATTAGAAAGTTTTGTGAAAGTTTAGCACAGACATATAAATTGAAAGTGGTTTTCTCTTTTGATTTTAGTGGAGTGTAATTGATATCATGTTTTTATTGATATCCTGTTTTCACTTCTTAGAGATCTACTTTATATGAACAGTCAAAAGATAAAGCATAATTAATACAATTATAAAGGGAATTTCAGAAATGAAATTAATTATTACAGACCGATATTACTGTTTAAAACTGAAACTCTTTTCCAGGGAAGTCACTAATGGTGTAGAAAGAAAGGGGAAGAAAAAATCTGTAGGTCGTCCCCCTGGCCCATATACTAGAAAAATGATTCAAAGAATGTCTGAGCCATCTATTTTGGTAAGTGGTTTTCAGGTTTACTTATTTAATAAAATGAGTCCTACTTTATTATTTCCTTATTTAATAAAAATGAACGTGTTAAACTGTCTTTTTAATGTTAACAGAGAGTTGAATATTTACAGAATCTGAAAAAAATCTGTCTTATTCCTTTAGGAAAAAGAACCTGTTATAGTGCCAGAATCCCCTGTTTTGGATTCTCCTAGCACTACTGGGTATGTATGGGAAAATATTCATTCAGCTTTCTATTCAAACAAAGCCAACGCTTCTCTCAGCCCCCCCACCCCACACCTTGTGTATGCATGTGTGTGTGTTTATATACACACACACACATATTCTACATATGTGATGAAATGTAAGGGGTTTGCATTCCACTCTGGTAAATAATGTTTTTTTCTTATAACAAAGCAAAACTGAAGATTAAGAGAATTTGAAGAGTGATGTGATGAAAAAGGCAAAAAAATAAAAAAGGGAAAGTGTTGTAATATAGTTCCTTGTGTAGGTGTGTGTCCCCCATGGCCCAGTTCATACTAGGGCTTGCAGAGTCA